TCTGCGCTGACTATTTGACTTGCTCTTTTTCCCAACTGTACCAGTCACAGACTGATCTCTTTCCTCACAGTCTCCCTGGGTATCCCCAACCAACTAACCCACCAACCCACCAACCCACCAACACACGCCCCACCCCCCACCACCCATTCCACTACCCTACCCCTCGTTACATTTGAGCCAGTGTCGGTACCAGAACCTGGCTGCCAGTACTACATTCCCCTGAGATTCCAACATTGTCTACATTTTCCAAAACAGCACATTTGTTTGAGATGGGGATAGCCACAGGATATCCCACACAACCTACTTCCCTCTCCTAACTTTCCTGGAGGTAACCTATCTACCTGACTGTATCTACAGTTTTTCTCCCTTTCTACATCTGCCATTCATCACACCCTCTAACTTCTTTAAATTCCTCATTGCGTCTAACTGCCGCTCAAACCAATCCAAGTGAGCCAATAGGATTTGCAATCAAACATACTTCCTGCAGACATGATCATCGGTAACTTGAAATTCTCCCTAATCTCCCACATCCAACAGGAAGAGCACACCACTCTACTAAAGGCCACCTTTGCACCTTAATAATCTACAAACCCAGCAAATAGTACAGACTTACTGCTCTAAAAAAACAATGCTCCAGGCTACTTGGTACTTATTTATTATATTTTTAAAATTTAATCAAAAGACAGATCTCAATAAAACATATAATTAAAAAAGAATCCACTCTACTCGCTATTGTAGATTTACAAAACTAAAACAGTAAGGTTACATGTAAAAACTATCCACTTAGCTGTTCCCCTGTTATGAGCTCTCCCATGCAGGTTTCTCCAAGGTCAGCTGTGAACTTCACTGTTTGTTAATTTTTCTCAGATGAACTCAAATTTCCAGAGATACTTGAAATCAAACAGCAGAGGCAGCAGCTATGCAGATCACTACTAGGTCTTACAGCAGTGTAGGTTCCTTTCTCCATTTGAATCACTTCCCATGAGGGTCCCTACCTTTGTTTCTCTTCCTCCCTTTTAAAGTGTCGTTGTTTTGATCTTTTTTTCTCAAAGTTCCAAAACAATGCAGCGGCTTATAAAACAGTAATTACTGCTCCTAAAATTCGAGGAAATCAGCTCCAACACTGAAAATACCTAAAAAAATGAGCAGCTCTTACAGCCACAATTTTTTTCCTGCTCTCCATCTTGGATTACCCAAACACAGGGGCTTAGACAGACAGCAATTTACATGGACTTTACTAAGGCGTTTGATAAAGTCCCTTTTGGTACAAAAACTAAAATCACATGGGATTCAGTGTGGGCTGGCTTGATAGATACAAAACTGGCTTGGTCACAGAAGACAGTGTAGAGGCGGAAGGGTATTTTTCAGAATGGAGACCGGTAACTAGTGGTGTTCCACAGGGATCAGTCTTAGGCGCTCTGTTGTTTGGATTATATGTAAATGATCTGGAGGAAAGTGATTAATAAGTTTGCTGATGACATGAAGATTGGTGGAGTTGCTGATTGTGCCAACAACTGTGAAAGGATACAACAGGATATAGACAGATTGGTGACTTGGGCACATAAATGGCAGATGGAGTTCAGACCAGACAAATGTGAGGTGATGCATTTTGGATGATCAAATTTAGGTGCGAATTATACTGTAAATGGCAGAACTCTTGAGAACACTAATATACAGATAGATCTGGGCATGCAGGTCCACAGTTCGTTAAAAGTGGCAACACAGGTGGCCAAGGTGATTAAGAAGGCATATGGTATGCTTGCCTTCATCCGCCGGCGCATGGAGTACAAAAGTTGGCAAAACATGTTGCAGCTGTATAAAACTCTTGTTAGGCCACATTTGGAGTATTGTGTGCAGTTTTGGTCGCCACATTACCAGAAGGACATGGAAGTTTTGGAGAAAGTGCAGAGAAGGTTCACCAGGATGTTGCCCGGTCTCGAGGCCAGTGGCTATGAGGAAAGGTTAAAAAGACTAGGATTGTTTTCACTGGAAAGATGGTGGCTGAGAGGAGACCTGATAGAGGTCTACAAACTTATGAGAGGCATAGATAGGGTGGATCGTCAGAGGCTTTTTCCCCAGAGTTGAAGTTTCAATTACAAGGGGGCACAGGTTCAAGATGAGAGGGCAAAAGTTTAAGGGAGATGTGCAAGGAACGTTTTTCACGCAGACAGCAGTGGGAGCCTGGAATACACTGCCAGAGGAGGTGGTGGTAGCAGGCACGTTGGCGACATTTAAGAGGTATCTGGGTGGTTACATGAATAGGGAGAGAATAGAGGGATATGGACCAAATGAGGGCAGAAGGTTTGTTTTTTAGTTTAGTCAGAGTATACTGATCGGCACAAGCTTGGAGGGCCAGAGGGCCTGTTCCTGTGCTGCTTTGTTCTTTTGTTTGTTCACAGTGGCTACAAGAGCAGGTCAGAGGTTAGGAATACTACAGAGAGTAACTTGCCTCCTGACTCCCAAAAGCCTGTCCATCATCTACAAGGCACAGATCAGGATCTGATGGAATACTCCCCACTTGCCTGAATGAGTGTAGCTCCAACAACACTCTAGAATCTTGACATCAACCAGGACAAAGCAGCCCACTTTGTCAGTAGTGTATACTATCTATAAAATGCACTGCAGAAATTCTCCAAACCACAACCATTTTCATCTAGAAGGACAAGGGCAGGAGATACATGGGAACACCACCATCTTCAAGTTCTCCTCCAAGCCACTCACTATCCTGACTTGGAAGTAGATCATTATTCCTTCACTGTCATTGATTCAACATCCTGGAATTCCCTCCATAATCGCACTGTGGGTCAACCCACAGCAGATGCACTGCAGTGTTTCAAGAAGGGGTAGCTAGGCACAGGCAATAAATGCTTACCAGCCAGTGACGCCCACATCCCACAAATGAACGAAAAAAAACTCCACAGAAAATCCTTGATATCTGCAGACATTCAATCCATTAATTTGAGCTGGAATCCAATAAAAGACACAGATGAAAGCTCAGTATTAAACCACTACCATCCTAACTCATTATCACAAGTTGAATTTCTATACACTATCCAGGCTGAAGCGGCATCTGCAAATCTCCACCCCACAAGTGGAATCTCAAATCATAGTTTGCATTCTGGTCATAATGGCAATTCTCCCCCTGCTAGTTAGCCCACTCATATACTCTTTCATCTGGACAAGCCTTTGAGTAACTGTCAGCAGTTATCTCAGCAGGAGGAGGCATATATGTTCAGTCGTGTTCAGTGATCAGTATTGTGAACTCGGACTAATAACCTTTCTCCCCTCTCCACTCTGGTACAATGACATCAACAAAATACCACTTGCAACTTCCTGGAGATCAACAGCTCCAGAGACAGTTGAAGATCTGGGTGGTACAACAGGTCACTTGACTTGCTGCCAAACTCACTCATTTTCATGCTTAGCTCCTTTTATGCTGCAACCAGCTTGTCTTCAGACTGGCACCAGATACTAACACACCCAACCACCACCACATTGCCAAACCCAAATGATGGTCCTAATATTACAGCATCAGACAGTTATTTTCCACTTTTGCACTTCTAACTTGGGGTTAAATTCTCCATTACCCCCACCTCTGACAGTATAAGATGTACCGCAAAAATATCTTAATGACTGGCTGATTTTATAATGCACAAAAAGTAGTATAAATTTAAATAAGCATAGAACATGAATATAAACAAATATAAGCAAGTACACAAGTGATTTTTCTTCTTTGTAATTAGTTTTATAGGAAATGATTAGAAAGATCTTAATCAGAGCACAGAAAATTAAATCCAAAATAATCTGGTCATTTATTATCTGGAACTAAACATAAAAAAAACCTTTCCCAAGCGAGTTTGACAATCCGCTTTCTCCTAGTACCCTTCAGGGAAATAAACCAGCCATCTTTGGCTTATACATGTTTCCACTTCTACTTTCACGTTGACCCTATATGTCTCTGAGCAACTGGGGATGTTCAGGTTGTCTATATCACAAGAATAAATTTTAAAAAACTAGTCAGAAAGACTTATATTTATAAATGATTGTCTTCTTCTTCCCAGAATTTATACCATGATTTGATAGGAAATTGATAATTTGAGGTAATTTCCCAAAAGCATCCCACTGATTTTATCCTTTCCTGAGTCGATGAAGCATTGCATTGTCCAATGGAATGACTGGGATACTTGGAGCATATTCCATGTGTAACAAAAGCTATTTTAAATTATTCTATGTTCTGGAATTCCTTTCCTCCATCTCTCATGCCTCCTTTAAGATGCTACTTGGGACCTGTACTTTGACGAGCTATTGGTTCCCTGTCTCGATGTCTTATTTGATTCAGTATTAAATTTGATCTGAAAAGTCATGGGATGTACCCTAGGAAATTTTTACTATGTTGGAGGCAATAGAGACAAAGAAATCTGCTTCAATTATCTGATAGTATAAGTATCAGAAGCATACTTACATAGTTTTGGGTAAAAGCCACTGGAAGATTGTCAGGAAGAACATTTTTTTAAAACACTGAGTGGTTCCAAACCTAGAATGCACTGCCCACTGGATGGAGGAAGTGGAGATGAAGCTTGATTTCAAAAGGAAATTGCATGGACATTGCAGGGAAATGGCTATGAGTATACAGAAGGGTGTTACTCTACAGACAGCCAACACTGACTCACTGAGCTGAATGGCCTTTGTCAGTGCCTTAAAGACTGCGTATAAATGTTCATTATTAATACGATGCATTCAGTTCTCTTTCAGCATATTAGCTTCCTGCTCAGTTTCTCACAAATGTGATAATGGGCACGGTTCTAGTCAGAATGCAAGAATCTGTGTGGAGTTTAATGTTAATATATGCAATGTTTAAACAGTTTAGACATCCACAAGTTTTGCACAATGACTTACAACCTGACGGTGATAATAACGTTGTTATTCAATCCCAAAGCACTGGATTTGACAACCAAAAGAACACAGAACAGTTATATGTGAGAAAGAAACTACAGAAGTACCTTGTGACAAACACAGCAGCATCCACAGCTGGAAAGTCATCTTTCCCACCAGGAACATGGTTATTCCCCAGATATTTTGCTCCAAATTCCTTGTGCTGCCAACGACAGAAACTTTCCAGTGACCGTTCTCCATGATGGCCAATCAATAGCTCCTCCTAAAAAAAATTTCCAAAATATATTATGCAAAAGCAGAAAATCCAAAAGTAATGACTGTAAAATAGAAAGTGATCTTAGGCTTTTACAAATAAATTTGCTATAAATCTCTACACCTCATGAATTGGTTGCTTGCTGTCACTGTAGTTTGATGTGTGTACATTAAAAATTTGGACTCATGCTGTGTGAAATTGTTTGGTCATTCAAGAAGAATTAAAAACATGTTTGTTGATTAGAAGACTGAGATTTTCTAATTAAATTAGTGTACAAAATAACTCAAACTGATCTCTCAGCATTCTGAATACTGACAAGTCAGGTGCCCTGGTCTGTTGTGATGGATGAAATCCAAACGAAATTTTGGTTGAGCGAGGTTAGGGAATTGAGGCAAGCCAATAGTTAACAACATATTGATCAGCCATACTCCAATTAAACATGTAATATAATCAAGGGATCCAAAGACCTCCTGTTCCTGTCATACTTACTGGACGATTACGAAGCAAGATTAGTTTGGTCACTCGAATATTGATCTTGATTCCCAGGGTATGATGCTGAAACATGTTATATACCTGCCAGAGAAATGAAGTTTTCAGGTGTCATGATAACTGTGGAAGAAGGCATACTGCATAAAGAACAGCACAATGCATTCAATCTGAAACACATTGAAAAAGGATAAATAAAACCTAAGCTGCTGTTGACTTCTCTATTTATGGATTTATAATTGTTTTTGGTGGCATATAGCCTATCCCACAGCAGACAATGTTATAAGGAACAAAAACAAAGTTGCTGGAAAAGTTCAGCAGGTCTGGCAGCATCTGTGAAGGGAAAAAACAGAGTTAACATTTTGGGTCTGGTGACCCTTCCTCAATTCGTTAACTCAGAAATGTTAACTCTGTTTTTTCATTCACAGATGCTGCCAGACCTGCTGAGCTTTTCCAGCAACTTTGTTTTTGTTCCTGATTTACAGCATCCACAGTTCTTTTGGTTTTTATTAGAGAATGTAATAAAGCTAATTAATGAAATGAAAGTGAAGGACTTCCATTTGATCTCAGCACATGCTTGGTATTGGACAAGTAAAGGCACACTTGGGAGTGAGAGCTCACAAGAACAGCTGACTGAATGAACACAAGAAAAACACCTACAGGAAGAGTCCCCAAAAGGCAGCAATTCAGTCCCCAAAAGGCAGCAGGATCTGTGTGTCTCCACATGCATCTGTTTAATGTGAAAACTCCAAACGCAGAGTAAAGCAACAAGCCACTGAGTCACCGGCAGAAGCATCCAGTTCCAGTAACTAGTTATTGGCAATATAACAGGAATAAAATTATGCCTATTTATAACAACTGCTTCTTTCCAACTTTAATTATCAATTTTTGTTTTACAATGAGGGGCTTCACACTCTACAAATCTATCCTGATTAGCTTTTTTCGTTTTTTGATTTAAGTGGTACTAATCTTCTTCATCTAATGTTTTCTGTCTATGGCCATTTCCATTCATTTATCTTCCTTCAGAGGCATGCTGACAAAAACACTGAGCTTGTTTGATTAGTGATGATTAATAGAAATATATTTGATACATAGGTGTTTGTTAGCTCAGTTGGCTGGATGCCTGGTTTGCAATGCAGAGTAATACCAACAAGTGTGGATTCAATTCCCGCACTGGCTGAGGTTCCCATGGAGGATTCTGCTTCCCGACCCCTTCCCTTGCCTGAAGTGTGGTGGCCCTCAGGATGCCTTAAGCACCACCAGTCATCTCTTTCTAATGCGGGAACAGCCCTATTATCTGGTAAGACTATGGTGTCATGCAACCACAGCAATCAGAACTGTAAAAACTGTCATTCATTTTGGTCTAATCTTGGTACCACAGCACTACCCAGTCAGAGCAGCAGCTGGATAGTGTGACGCACAGCCATTTGGACACGCCTTATACTTTCGCAGTTTGCGAGCCCATTATCGAGTCTACATTATCTTATCAATCAAAATTCTTTATTTTTGAAACCAGAAACATTTCTACTTCTGTCTCTGCATTTAGTCTATGAATGAAGCGATCCCATCATTGTCACAGGACTCTGGTAAGATCAGGAGAAACTGCTGAAGGTTGTCTCCTAAAACCGCCCTTCATCAAGAACTGATTTTCACAGGAACAGATTTCCATTCAATGTGTAGCAGTGAGGACGATAATTAGAGACTTTAGAATGGCAGGAAGGTTAAATGGACTTAGCACGGAAGACTGTATTGAAGGTTGGAAAGTGTGAAGTGATTCACTTTGGAAGGACAAATAGAAAGACGATATATTATAAACATTAAGGAACAAGAAACACATAGCTGGATCAGCAGTATCTGTACAGATAGAAACAGAGTTAACATTTTGAGGCCAACACAACTCTTTTTCAGTGTTGTCTGCAGTTTCCAGTTTCTGCAAGTTACATTACCCAGAGTCATCTTTGCCAATCAGCAAGAATTGGGCAGAATGTCGATTTACGCCTGCTGATTCCAGGTGGTGGGTTAGTTAATATTTCCACTGGAAATTAAAATTTCCTTCTTCTTTTAAAACAAATGAGTGGCTTAATATGAGTTACTCAAATCAGTTCCTTGTTGCAATGGGAGAAAAAAATCTTCACTCTTCCTCTGTCTAGGGTATGGCTTATTGTTGCGAAGGCCAAGACAGCTGAGATCAATCTGTAATCTGTTCCCAGCCAGAAATACACACTCCAAAGGGTCTTTTAGGATGTATGGGTAATATCCCTACCTCTTGAGCTTGGAGACCTGGGTTCAAGTCCCACCTGCTTCAGAGGTGTGGAATATCATCTCTATACAGGTTGATGAGGAAAATATCTACACTCTAACAAAAGATAGGTCAGGGATGAAATCTTAGAAATAACCCTGCAAAAATAGAGTCTGCTTATCTTTTCCTATCTTGTCTTAATTCCAAGTATTTCCAAAAGCACACGGTATATTTAAGCAGAACCTGGCGGTAAAAGGCATTTGCATGAATAGTGCAGCAGCAAGTGGTGACGGTTTTGCATTTAATCCCAGAATCCAGAAGGAGAACTTTTACAATGATAAGTTGCAATCTTGAATTCAATATACTTGCTCATTTGTAGCCTCGTAATTTACAGCTATGCATGGTCAGATTGATGTTTTATAACTGGTCCCCCAATATCCTGCCAAATGTAGCCTGACACGTCTACTAATTTTTGGTGTACATGTAACAGTGGCTAATTCTTGGTGTCCTCCAAAATGGCCTAACAAGCCACTGGAAATCCAGGCTCATTAAAGACAGTTCCTCGGGCTCAATGGTTAGCACTGCTGCCTCACAGCACAAGGGACCCGAGTTCGATTCCAGCCTTGGGTGACTGTCTGTGTGGAGTTTGCACATTCTCCCCATGTCTGCATGGGTTTCCTCCGGGTTCCTCCCACAGTCCAAAGATGTGCAGATTAGGTGAACTGACCATGCTAAATTGCCCATAGTATTCAGGGATGTGTAGATTAGGTGGGTTTATAGGGGAATGGGCCTGGGTGGGATGTTCTGTGGATCGGTGTGGACTTGTTGGGCCGAAGGGCCTGTTTCCATACTGTAGGGATTCTATGATTCTATGAAAGGGGAGCAGGACTTGACTGTTCCCAGCCACTGCAGTAGCAAGGATGGCCGCTAGAGGTCTCCACATTCTTCCTCCTACAGCTAAAGCTTGTACAGGTCAACAGGACATCTGATAATTCTAACACGGTCAACGTGCATGAAAATCACAACAATAGTCAGAGATCTTGCACCAGGAAATCTACTAATTTCCTTTCTTCTGTTTCAGAAATTCTCCATTGAAGGAATTGGGTTTAAACAGTACCTTCTTTGCAGATCCTATAACTTATTATTACATGTGTTGAACGCAGGTGCATTCCAGATTCTGTATTCCTTACAGTAATACCAAAGTATGCCTCCATACTTACTAAGTAGTGTCTAGAATACCATAATTTACTAAAACCACACAAATCAAGCTAAAGCACATCATTTACACAACAGAAATGAACACAGTTTAGTTGTTACTATCCCAGCAACATAAACATAAGGGAAAGGTTTCACCTCATTTAAATTCCGCAGCATGGTGGCCATGGAAACACTTTGGAATTAAAGAGAACATTTGCAGGGACATAAATAGACAACTTGTATTAGTTACTACCCCAAGCACAAGCAGCTTATTTCCAGCACATCATAATATGTTTTTTTTTTAAATTTTCAAGTATTGGCTACAGCACCTAATTAACCTCAACACAGAAACCCCTTAACACTAGCTGTGTCAGCATGTTCCAAACACAACAGGGTATTCGACCTGATAAATATCAGGCCCTGTAACTTCTCCCCTGAAGCGTTTTGAAACATATTATTGAATCTATTTCCACCACCTTTGTCAGTGTATACTAGATCACAACCCTCTGTGTGAAAAAAAGAAAAATGAATCTCCATTTCATCTCTGGTGTGTTGACAATTACTTTAAAACTGTGTCCTCCAGTTGCTGACTCTTTTATCACTGGAAATAGTTTCTCCTCATTTGCTCTGTCAAAACCTTTAATTATTTCAAACACCACTGTTTTTCTCTGTTCTGAAGAAGCCTCAGTTTCTTCAATCCCTCAACATTTTTTTATTCACTCGTGGGGGACACTCATTCCTAGTCGCCCTTGAGAAGGTGGTGGTGAGCTGCCTTCTTCAACCGCTGTAGTCCACATGCTGTAGGGCAGTAGTGACATTCGCCAAGCCTTATTAAAATATTATCTGTATAGTTTCTTCCCAATACAGATCAGATCCTAGATGTCCATTTTTTCTCAGAGATCTTTTTGTTCATGTCATTTCAAGTACCTCATCATTTGTCTTACGGCCTGTAGAAGGACCCTCATCAACTTTTACAGGTGCACCATAGAAAGCATTCAATCTGGGTGCATCATGGCTTGGTACAGCAACTGCTCTGTTCAAGACCATAAGAAACTGCAAAAAGTTGTGAACACAGCCCTGACCATCACGCAAGCCAAGCTCCCAACCATGGACTCCATCTACACTTTACGTTGCCGTGGAAAGGCGGCCAACATCTGAGACCCCTCCCAACCCGGTTATACTCTCTTTCAACCTCTTCCATCAGGTGGAAGATACACACATACCAACAGGTTCATGAACAGCTTCTTCCTCGCTGTTATTAGACTGCTGAATGGACCTCTCTAATTTCAAATCTAATGTTGATCTTGCTTTTGTGCACCTCCTGTCCAGCCATAACCTTGTATGCCTCACTCAGTCTAATCCTTGCACACAAAACTTTTCACGTACTGAGGTACGTGTGACAACAATAAATCAAACCAAATTGAATTATTAGCAAATATCTTAACTTCCATATTTCAAAGGCCTCTACCGTGTTCCACAGATCTTGTATTATCCAAGTTTCTGAGCCAGACGAGAAAGTGAGTAAAATGTATTAGCATATGAGGCTTTTCCTTAATACAAGTTTGCATTTTCTACTAGTACCACATCCTTCACCATCATAAAATTACTTCTGGCTGTCTCTATCCTTCTTGTTACTTCTACACCACATTTG